ACTCGTTTTGCTTACTTGGGAAGATCGGAAGGTGAATTTCTCCGATTGAGGCTTCAATCTCTGCAAGACTGCAACCTTCAAGGAAGAAAAAGGTCACATCTTTATGTCGATCGCGGAATGGACTTCTTTGGTTACAGGTGCTGCTCTAGGAGCTCCAGCTTCTTCGATTTTTACAGCTCTAGTCGAAGAGGCCAAGAAAGTGAAGGACTTTAAACTCTTGTCTCAGGATCTCGCGTCCACGATGGAGAGATTGGTTCTGATTATCGTAATAGGTTTTCAAGAACAAAACACTCTTTAAAGAATAACTCTCCTATATGTTTAGAAACTTAACTCAAAACTAAACACAAGCTTTTGCTCTTTTTCTTGATATCTTTGTCACATCTTGACATTGATATATATAAGGCTAACACCACTTAGTTAATGCTAACACCACTTTGTTAATGCTAACACCACTTAGTTAGTGTTATTCCTAATAGAATTAGATAACTCCTAACTCCACTAGGATTACATTAAACGTATCTTATCCTAAACCAACTTGCTATGGATATCTTAGGTGGCAAGTCATCTAGAAGCTTATCCAACATATCGAACCCATGTAGGGATGAACTACAGGTTCTGATTAAAACGATGCTAAGAGCTTCGGAAATGGTTCGTAAGTGTTCACGCGTCCAGGGGTACAGTATCGTCAAGAAGGCTTTACATGCCAGAAAAAATCAAAGGTATCAATCAGGATTTTCTCAACTTCTGTCAGACTGAGTGACAGATTATTCAGCATAAGAACCAGTTACAGTCTATGCGTTTGATTGCAACCATGAGTACGAAAGTCGACTTGTTGAGTGATACCGGGAAGGAATATTCAGTGCTTTTTATGGTACCACAGCCAGAAATGGTTACTATATTTTGGTTGATCCGGCCATTGAGGGAGCTAAAGAGGATGCTTTTTGATGATGGAGTGGTTACTATCGTCGTCTCTGCTCCTTCTGCCTGTGGGAAGACCACGTTGGTTACAAAGCTTTGCCATGATGCAGATGTTAAGGGTATAACTCACAAAGTCTTCGTTTTCATGTTTTTTGTAAAAGAAGAGCATGTTATCTTTGTTTCTCATATGGTCTACTTTGGCAGGAAAATTCAAGCAGATCTTCTTTATCACTGTGTCCAAAGCCCCTAACGTAAGGCTCGTCGTTAAGAGGTTACTCCAGCACACTGGTTGTAAAGTAATTGAATTTGGAAACAACTTGGATGCAAGGGTCTGCATTCAACAACTGCTGAAGCAATTCAGGCAAAATGGGTCTATGTTGTTGGTTTTAGATGATGTTTGGCCTGAGGAAGAGTCCTTGCTTGACAAGTTTCTGATTAAGTTACCCGATTACAAGATTTTGGTGACTTCTCGGATTGGGTTCCCAAGTTTTGGTCCCACTTTCCATTTGGAACCTTTGATAGATGAAGATGTTAAGAATCTTTTCATTGCGTGCGCAACACAGTCCAATTGTCTATCGTGCTCCAAGCGTGACCATCTTCTCCAAAAGGTATTTGACTTCTGTGCACCTACACAACTATTATTCAAGTACCATGATTTTAGTAGCACTGGAGCTGGATAAAAAAAGATGTTGTGGTTGGTGAATACTTTGAATGTAAGCTTCAAACATTTTATATGATGAAACGAAAATTTCATCATTTGCTCTTTGACTTGGCGACGATGCAGATACTCAAACGTAGAAATGGGTTTCCACTTGCAATGAATCGTCCTTGCAGGTAACAAACTTATGCGCTTGGGAATGTGTGTTACAACTTTATCCTGTCTGTTTCTCTGGTATATAGTGAGGTTCCAAAGTCACAAAAGTGTTGACTCTCTAATGCTTCGTTGATTAAGTGATGGATGTTCCTGTTACTTGAACTTCCTGCAGTTGAAAATTCAATATATCACTCTGTTGCTACAATATTTCCGGTCTTCTTTGTCTCGAATTACATATGTCCTGACCTGCTTAAGAATATTACACTTGTAGCATATGTGATGGTTGCAACTCTGTGATTGAACATGGAAGACTTGTCAATGTCTTGGGTGTTCTTTGGCATCCTGAATGTTTCTGTTGTAATGCTTGCCACAAACCAATTGCTATCGATGAGGTTGAAAACCATGTAAGGACAAATTCCATCTTTGAAATTGCTTGGTATTTTTAATCTACTCCTTGGCTTGTTCATTTGGTTTTTTTTTTATGCAAATCTAAATTCTTGATAACTCCTTAGGTCTCAAACTCAAGAGGCAAGTTTCACGAATCCTGCTACAGGGAGCACTGCTATGTCTGCAAAGCGAACGTAAATGCTCGTTTGGTTTTATGAAATGAAAGTATTTAGGGGGAAAAAATAGTTAAGGAATTGGTTGGTTATGACATTTTCTTTGTTATCTCCCAGATTCATTCAACTGCTGAATGTATAGAGTACAATGAGCGTCCGTTCTGGCTGGAGAAATACTGCGCTTCTCATGACATTGATGGAACTGCCAAGTGCTGCAGCTGTGAAAGATTAAAGGTGAATTTTACTAAATACCAAAATAACAAGGAAATAAGGATATATAACATACTCTGATACTACAAATCTGAAAATTTGTTGTTTCTGTTAATTATGAAGTGGCTTTAATTTCCTGAATACTTGCAGCCTAGGGGAACGAATTATGTAATGCTTGGTGATGGTGAGTGGCTATGTCTAGAATGTATGGAATTTGTGTCTCAGACTTGGCACTTTGAACGCCATGAATTCTTCGAAGACTTAAACATGAAGGTTGACAAAGAATTTCCTCTTCTTTTGGTGGAGCAACAAGAGCTGAATAATGCTAAGGAGGATGAGACGATTGTTAGTACACTCCCTTGCTCAAACTTTCTGCCCTGCCGGTTTTTCCAAGTTTCTCCATATGCAGGACCAAGGGTTCAACAGAGGTTGTTGCATTTCCGAAGAGACAATCACAATAAATGTAAGAGCCTTGTCGTCGGAATTATTATGGCAGAAACACTTGGAACAGAAAAATTCTTGGAGTCATGACAACATCATCACTCTGGTCTATGTAGGTCGCAAAGACGCCAAAGATGAGGCAAAACAATTTGTTAATCGAGATGGAAACAAAATCCCAAATGCTCCGAGATCGTGAACTTGAGAACGCGGCTCGTCTTGTGTGAACTTTCTAGGTACCATGCTTCTCTACTTTGCCCCTTCCTTTAGTACTCGCGCGTATGACTCAACCAAATCTTTTCTTCTAGAGATCTAGTCGCAGGATCAATCTTGGCTGATGAAATGATGCACGCGTGGCTCGGAATCAACGGTACATACTGCTTTTGGCAATGCGTCTCTCTTTTTCATATTAGAAGAAATTATCATCCCCTAATGCCTCTAAACGATGATCACCATGAAAACCTTGAGGAATCTGGAAATAATCAATCATCTTAGAAAATAAAAGTAAACGAAATTCTCAACTTCTCTGTTCTGAAACAGGGCATAGGAATCTTGAGCCGCCTCAGCTTGAAGAAGGAATATGCTACTTGTTTGCACTCAGGTGGCTGGATTATCAGGCTTACTCCCCTACCAATGGATCATTTTTTTCTCCCACGCCGGTTGACCCAACAGATCAACCTTTTGAGAAGAAACTGGTGAAATTTTGCAAGTATCATATAGAATGATTCACCAGTCTACGCTCTTGAATTCAAAAGATTTAACAAGTTGGTCACAAATTCCAGCCTCCATGAAACCATGAGAGATTAAAATCCGGAGGTTGAATACGAAACCAGATTCATATCTTTGAATCAGCCATAGAGGACACGTCGAAACATACCCATATACAAACCTTCTACATATATATGGTTTCATGAAAGCCACCACCAAGTACCCTGCTCTTTTACTGTTTGGTCTTAATTCCTCTGTTTAAATTGTTTCTTCTTCCGCTTTCCCTTAAAGTTGGAACCTTTAAAGGAAGCGCTTTTTAGAGTCTTTTTTTTTCTTCTCCGGCGGTCTTGTTAATTTACCGGTAAACTTCTGAGATACATAATTTCGCTAAGTCAATCGCTCTAGTTTTATAGAGTCAAACTCAGACCTTTCATTCGCTGTGTACTTATTTCTTGTGTTGTTGTTTCTTGAAAGCACACCAAGTGTTCGACCATTTGTCCCAACCACCAGTTTCACTCCATAGTGTGAGTTTGATTTCTTTTTGTCATTTGGATTGTCAATGTGATTTCAGATGTTTTCTCTGAGATTCTCGACCTCCGTTAAGCCACTTAATTCCGTAATTACACAGCAAGTTCGATTCTTTTCCCGTGACCCATTCCCAAACAAAGTCCAGCACTACCTTTACCGAGCAAACCTCATCGATTCCATCCGTCTCTGTCTCCGTTCCACAACCTCAGACACAACACTAGCTTCTCTTTTGAACCACCGTCTTGTCGATTCCTTTGTCGTGAAGAACGCTTTACGCTCATCTCCTTCAATCGCTTCTGCTTGGTCTATCTTCAAAACCCTCAGGGTGAAAAATCCAAACTTTTCATATGAAACTGAGACACTTCACGCCTTTGCCACTGTTCTTGCCAAGTTCCAGCGATCTTCTGAGCTTAAATCTCTTATTGGAGTTATCAATGCTGGGAAATTCGGCAATGTTCATTTCAGTTTTATGAATCTCATGAACTGGTACGCAACTGCTGGCGATTTCGACTCTGTTTTGAAGACTTGGGACGAGTATAGATCCTCAGGAGATGAGAAGAAAGGATGCACCGAGTCATATAACATTGTGATGCAAGTTTACATGAGTTTAGGTAAAGATTCTGAGTCTGTGCAAACTTTTGATCAGATGGTTAACGAAGGAGGGATTCCGAATTCTAGAACATTCACTATTATGATTGAGCATCTTGTGAAATTGGGGGATCTTGATGCAGCCATGAAGGTTTTCGAGACCTTGCCTTTGATGAGGATCACAAGGACTATGAAGCATTATTCGGTTTTGATTGAAGCGTTTGTTGATGCGCAACGGTTTGATGAAGTCAAGATTCTGCTTGCTGAGATGAAAGCTGATGGGAAAATCCCGAGTAGACGCATGCTTGAGCCTCTGAAACGCATGAGGGAGGCTGGATTTGAACAAGAAACTGAAGAGTTCTTCAGAGAAATGTTGCCTGATGAGAGAATCAAGGACATTTCTATGTATTCTATGGACAATCCCAGCGATACGGAAGAAGAAGAAGATGAATACAATGATGGTTGGAGTGATGTTAATGAAGGTCAAGTGAAGTTGAAACCATGGTTGGATCCAAAAGCTTTAGCTAATTCGTTAAAGAAGTGGAACTCTGATGCAGTCACTGCTTTGGAACAAGCTAACTTTGTCTGGACAAATCTTTTGGTCTGCAAGATGCTAAGAAACTTCAGATCATGTGAAACAGCATGGAGTTTCTTCTGCTGGGTGGCGACTCAGCCCGGATTCACCCACGACGCCTACACGATTGAGAGAATGATGGCTATGTTAGCACGCAATGGCCAAGTTGAACTAGTCGATAAGCTCATCTCGAAAGTGAGAATCGAAGGGATCAAACTACCATTCAGCACCATCAGGCTAATCATTGATCTCTACGGAGTTTCAAAGAAACCAGACGTGGCCATCAAGGTTTTCCGCGAAGACAGAACTCTCTGCGGTTCAATATCAGGTTTCAACCTCATGCTGTTATACTCATCCCTCTTGAGGACATTAACAAAGTGCAAGAAAAACGCAGAAGCTTTGGAAACGCTAGGAGAAATGATTTCGAGCGGAGTTTCTCCCGATATCCAAACGTTTTCGGGTTTAATGTATCACTTTGCATTGCAGGGAGAGATTCAGACAGTTCAGAGACTTTTCTCAACGGTGAGACAGATTGGTCTAGAACCAGATCCTTACATGTTAAAGCTTCTTGTTCAAGCTTATTGCAGATGCGAAAGATCAGTACTTGCTTTCAGAGTGTACCAAGACATGAAAGATATGAATCTGATGCCTGATAAAGAGACAAAAGAGCTGCTTGTGAGGAGTTTATGGAGAGAAGAGAAGCGGAAAGAAGCGGCTGCGGTTGAAGATAGCGACGAGGAAGGGAATGTTAATAGTAATAGCGTTTTGCGTTTGGCATTGAAGGGTCATGTGTGGACTATGAGTTCTACAGACATTGCTCGAGTTTACAATCTCTACCGCGATTGCGTTTTGAGAACTTCAACTTAAAATAAATAAAAACTTTCTATTTTTTGTTTTCAGTTTCAGTTGTAACCGAGATTTAGTGGGCCTAATGATCGTTTTAGGCCCATAGAATCTGTTAAGCCCATGAAATCTACTAGTAGATCACGCCATTCATACTAGTCAAAGAAGAATACGACGTGATGGTGTATCATATGAGTATAACAGCATGAAATTACTATCATATGAGTATTTGGTATATACAATTTCCGAATGGAATTTTGTAATCTCATATTATACGTTGTTTATGTGGTAATTGAGCAAAACTTTATTCGAGGCAGCAGTAAGTTTAAATACTCATATGATAGTAATTTAAAGTTTTACTTACTTACTTACTCTTTGACCAAAAAAAAAAAAAAACTTACTTACTTACTTACTTTTTCAAAAAATAATAATACTTACTTTTTCAAAAAAATAATAATAAATACATAATCCCTGGCTAAAAACATTATAATTTGACGTTGACCATCTAAAGTGAAATGGGATGAATCAACGTAGTACCCAAATATAAAGTGATTAATTAATTATTATAATAAAAAGGTATATCTTAATTATGTATACAGTCACTTTCATAGAAAACATATATACGAATTTCGGGTTTAGGGTATAAAAGAAAAACGAAAATATGAAGATAGAACATTTTATCTGGAAAAAATACTTTGAGAAAATAAAACCTTAAAAACTTTCTAAATTTTGTAAATCGACTTTATGTTGTATTTGTTTTTCATAGCACCGGACCATCTGAAAACTTATACATTCATTCTCTGCAAATTTGATGTCCAGCTTTTCCCTGCACTAAAAGATAGTTTAACTTTTAGTACATTTTAATAAGATAGTTTATTTTTTCTTCCCCTTTATATAAACTTAATTATTATAAAAAAAAAAAAAGCTAAGCCACTAATGTTTTAGTCTCCCTCCTCGGCCTCTTCCTTTAAC